AGACTCTCATTGCAATTATATTTATTGCCTCACACGGCTTAATAGTAAATAACGGTCCTTGTCGGAAAAGCTATCGCTGTCTAGTCGACAGTTAGCAACAACATTATCCTAGCTTACGGCTGTCAAATTATTCGTTGTGCCAAGAAACGATTACTGACAATTTTGGTTTCTGTAAACTTGGAATACATGTTTAATTTTACAATATTATTTATCCAGACCTTTTCCTCTTCGCCAACCGTTAATAGAAGAAAGTTGTTTAACGGTTTCTGAATTTAAACCAAAACTTTTAAACCAAATTCTTGTCTTGATTGCTGCCATATTAACAAATTTTCTTTCGTCACGAAAACCATCCTACAGTTTGGCTTGCTTGGCTGCTGTTCGAATGAGTAAATTCCTAAATGAAATATACACGCATTGCACAGTTCCATAGTGTAACACTTTACAACTATATAGCAATACATGTCAACTAGCTAAAGGGTTGAATTAATTTGAAACACCAAGAAATCTGGCCAAGGCTTTTTTTAAGCAAAATTGGTTAGAGGAAAAGTTAATTGATGGTAAGTTTTGCGTTGTATAAATATTGAGATCTTCATTTTGTTGTAACTACGTTTTGACCATGGAATATCCGCAATATTAACATCAATACGTAGAAATACGTAGGCTTATTTCCCGCAAAATCTATTTCATATGGTGAGCGAATCAATTAGCTGGATCATCAGAGTCTTGGTGAATCTGCAGAGAAAGCATTTAATTAATTCATTACTATTGTGTACATTTGTTACCGGTTAGTCATGATTAATACTTGCTCGATTAAAAGAAAAAAACTTTAGCAACAACAATTTTATTTTGGGCAACCATTACCGGAGCACGATTTATACATTAGTAAGAAGCAATCCTAACCCGGCTAATACGACTAGTTACACAGATAATATAATTAATGATGGTGAGTTGATCTTTTGCAACACATCTTTTGACGACATTCCGAATTCGCATTATTGGGTAAGCATAATAGACCGGGTAAATTAATATATTACGAAGCATACATAAAATTGCATCATCAATGAACAAAAGAACTGATTCATAGAACTGATATCTGGAATACGGTCACACAAATTACGGATAACTGTCGTTGTATGTTTAGATTCTCACATACGTGGGGTAACAAGCTTTTTTTTTTTTTCTTTTAATATGTAACGGTGACAATTGGCAAAGATTACAGCATCTTGTACGATTGTGAGAATTTTATTCCATTGAGGACAGGAAGGGCTCGAAATGTTATAATTATGTGATACGACAATTATTGATGGTGGACCACAACCGTGCATTCTTCAAAGGCATTCTCCTCCTGCATACTTGCCTTACAGAGCGCAACACCCTCCATTGCATAAATGTTTTTGTCGTTGATGGTAATGTGTGCAGCCAGACTATTCTTTACAAAGACATCAACGGCATTCGTTTATTATTATGGAATTCTAACATGTCGATAATTATTAGATGCCGCGGTCGTCCATTATTAGTCATACAATCAAGGAAAAGAGTCGCTAGTCAAAGCAAGCGGCATATATTCGACAGGAACTGCGGGCAAGCATGTGAACAACTATTTTTAGCAGGCAAGATTCCAACTCTTGATTATCTTTCGAATCTACCCTTTTTTTTTTTTTTTTTTTTTTTTGCATAAACCAATATCGATTTTTTTGGTTAGACTTTTTTTTATTTCATTAGTCATGTATTCTCTCTCAAAGCAAGTGATAAAAACGTTTTGTAATACGGGAAAGTCCCTGTGGAAATTCTTGAAACTAACAGGAACACACCACACCAAAAAAAGAGTCTTCCGAAAAAGCGTGTGCAGACCATATTTGTTATAAGGGAACATTGATAGATGGACCATAGAGGTTGGACGTCTGGGAGAAAGAAGATTAACCGCATTCTAAAGGATACTTTGTGCCACGTATAACAAGGGCACACCATGTCAAAAAAGGAAAATTTTCTTTGGAGTGGCGGAATGACATGGCAGCACATGTATTACTATTACACATTACACATTTACGCATGCAAGTTGGATGTTGTACATAATATAACAGACAATGCCATTACATGGAGTTCATCTGCACAGAATGTGATATAATAATTAGAATTGTATTGATAAGGGCGGTAACTGTATATGCACATGGATTTCGGTTTTTTTGACGGTGTTCACCCGCCAAAACATCAAATCGTACTTGTATTAGTTTCCATTACAGCTACTGATATCTCTTCTTTCACTCATTCGTTCACTCTTACTACAGCAAATGGGAAATAATTAACAGAGTAGGACAGTTTCAATTGGTTTTATTTCTTGAACTCGATCAAGTTTAAAAGCTAATACTGACGCTGTACTGTATGGGACTGTTTATCTGTAGTAGCGGTAGAATGCGAAAACTGAAGATTCAATTGTCCAGTATGAAACTATTACTATTGACCCCTCTAAAGTCACCGAATTCGTACACGATACTGGGTTTAGAAAAATATTACGTTATCAAAAATATTTTTGATAACGTAATAACCAAATAGTATACAATAGTTCTAGGTAACAACAATACACTCTAATTGATTTTATGAGCATCTTTTACAAAGAATAAAACAAAGCGTTTTTATCTAGATGACTGCGATATCACTGGGCAAAGTGTTCATCAAAGCAAGCAACTCGTACGGAAATTGCATAATCCAGAAAACTTTACCGTGTACTTGACGATACGACATACGCACTAACAAACCCCTCTAGTTTTAAAAGGTAGCATTGAATTTAGAGTCAGGTATGGTGTAAACAAACAAGACTTTTAGTGAAAAGAAATTAAAATACCACGTATGTATAGCAGGATGACTTGGTGTTATGTATTTCAGACATAGGTTGAGACAGAAGAAGGATTTTGTACGTCGTCATTGTTTAATAAAAGTTCTTTTCCAAAAAATCGTTTGTTCAAAGAACTTGTCTTCACTAACGGTGGTGCTAAGAAATTAATATTCCACATAATTTTAACGCTTCTCATGGCACCTTGGCCGCAATACTCGGACTATGTATGATACTAATACTAACAAGTCTCTTTCGTCTTTCGTCTCTGTCGCGTTGCTTTCAAATTTACGGCATCTATTAGTATCCTACTATTACACAACTCGTATACACTACCTGGACAAAAGTATCGGACCCGCTAATTTAAAGGTTTTAGATCAGTTTAGGTTGGTTGGAACTGAATAAATTAACGTTATTATTATTTCTTGTTGGAAGGGTTAATGTATGGATACTGATAAAGCGCGATCTATTTTTTTTCTTACAAACTATATAATAAACAGGCCAACGATTTCGGATCTTTAAGTTAAAATGTCTGAATAAACCAAAGCTGTATGTGTTAATTATAAAAATTTGGCTTTGCTAAAATGACAGTTATCGGAACAATAATTGCAGTACTAACATTTATAATTGATATGCCCTCATTTAATTTTGTAGTGAAGCAATCCTACAAGGTAATTGCCAAAACGGATTTCTTTCAGCAGCTGATAAAATGTGCAAGGTGGTCGTTGAAAACTAGTGAGCACTTAACCAACAATATGAACAGCAAACAGATCAACTGAAAGTGCATATTAGAAGTATGTTAACAAAAACTTAGACTTGATACTCTGCAAACAATTAAATGTTACAGTATCTAATAATGGCCCAAGTTATGCTCGAAAATTGGAGTAGGAAATATGGGCTTTTAGCCAAACATGGAGGTGAGGCTTGGTGTATTGTACCAATATATCTGAAGAGCAATGATACACGACACTTGAGAACTCGGACTTTTCTTCCTGCTGATTACTTAATTTCTTCCCCAGTTAGTGCTTGTGATAGAATTATCAGCTCTAATGCTTCTAGATATATTTTCAACTGCTTAAGGGGGCCCTAATGAATGCTTAACCTATCAGTATATATGCACGAGAAAATATTGCAAGCCGAAACAACTAGTAATAACGATAAAACGAGGAAACATCAATAAGTTACGTCCGGCTTTGTTTTAGTCATTATTCACGTTAGTCTTTACTTGCTAACATACTCAAATGTATAATGTGCTTATCAGTATCCCGAGTGTGCTCAATATACAGATGCGAATTAGTTATACTAATTAGAATTTGGGATACATTAGAAATTCACACATTATATAACCGTAAAGTTTATCATACGTATGGAACGCCCATACTATCTTTCCGATATATAAAGCCAACCCAACCGCTCCGCTTCAAACCGAGTATCTAAATTTCGTTCAAAGTGAATATAAAAATCGAATACAAAATAGCAGTGCTCGCCAACCATTGTTCACGTACTTGGGGTTAAAGATAGTAAAACAGAAACAACGTTACTTAAAGCGAATGGCGTATTCCTTAACCTCGCAACGGCAATGATGGGCTAATAACTGTAAGTATTCAAAGTTCAGTAGACCGACTATATATATTTGCACACTTGTATCAAAATTCTTTGTACTGTGCCATCATAGGTAAACGTGTTCAAGCGCCAGTCTTTGCAAAAACGTCGACACCTAATGCCATACGCTCGAGCCATTGGAAGCATAAAGTTAACTGCCTGCAAACGTGCACTCAATCTACACAGACGAACCAAAAAAGCCAAGCTAAGGTTCCAAGGACTCTATTGTAGGGGATTTGGATGTACACGACGACAAGTTATGTATAGTTACATAACTTTGAATACGTATCAAATACCACACTACACGCGTCTACAAAATTAGACTTTGCTCGAATACTAGGATAAATCGGAATACATAGTTGGTTTAAAAACCTCTTGAATATCTACTTCTTTATTCCCTTTTTTCATTGTATACTACTCTTTATCACTTGCATCTCATCTTAACATTGCCTTTGGCAGGGTCAATGATCGATTGTTAGAGTAATGCGTCAAAAGACATTACCTCTCGTTTTATTTATTTATTATTATTATTATTCTCACGCAAGATGAACCAAAAAGTTGTGTCTCATTATCATTCAAATATCCCTTTAGGCACCCTTGCGTCAAACCAGTCGGGCACATCTACACCTAGCGCAGTCAATACAATAGCCGCACAATCCATATTCCTAACCTCCTCTGTTGACATTTTCTCGTCCTCACGCGATCGTAGATTTTCACTCTGAACACCCCTTCCACAAACCACAACGAAAGACCCCATCTCGTTTTCACTATTTTCACCATGTGATCTCCCCGTCCCTCCATGGTCAGTAGTAATAACTACTGTCGTCTTCTCCAACCATCTCTCTTTCTCCAACTCGTCAAATAACGCCCTGACGTGTCCGTCCAATATCCTCAATTGCTTCAAATACTTCTCTGATCCGAACCCGTAGTTATGACCTTGTTCATCGACGTCAACAAAATGAACAAGCAACAGCTCGATATCTTTCGAGTCAGGCGAAGATAGAAAGGATAATACCCGTTGTAAGACGTATGTATCGTATGAGGGTGATTTTAGAGTGTGATGTTTAAGATGGAGTCGTATACGCGTGCAGAGAGATTCTGACTTAGGAGAGTAGAATACGCCTGGAATCGAACGCTCTATTATGCCAGTGTTTAGCGGAGCCCATGCGACAAACGAAGCATATTTTATAGGTTCGTCACAAACAGGGTGTCTCGAGTTTAATGACATATTGTCAGCGCAGATAAATGGTTTAGTGATAAACTTGGAGGCATTCCTAGTCAATTTACCCTTGTTACCACGTTCACAATTGTCGAGAACAATTGTATTTCCGTATTTTTCATTTTTCTTTCTCATGTTAATTTTTTTTTCATCTCTTCTAACCAGTATCTTAAACAAACTCGGATACATGCTATTCTCATCAAACTCCTTTCCACGCTCAACGTCTCCATTACTCAGCCCATGTTTTTCTGGCAAAACTCCATGAAGAACGGAGCCCCAATTAGGGGCGCTGTCGGTTGGAAATACAGCACGTGCACTGGGGAAAGATATGCCGTTCGAGAGAAGGGAGGAGAGAAATGGAGTGTGAGCGGAGTAAGTCACGGGAGAGCGCCCAAGGCCATCGAGGGCGATGAGGAGGACTCGCGGGGGGAAAGAATGAGAATTCGAGTGAGGTGGACTTGAGACCATAGGAGTTGAAAAAAAATCATGCTTGGGTGTGGGATGTTTGTCTTGGATAAAATGTGTTACTTTAGTATTAAACGTGATCTACTTACTGGTGTGGAATTTGTCTTATCGAATGTTGTTTCTGCTACACGTGAACAAAATAAACTCTACATTGGTATGCATGCATGCTGACGATCAATGATTAAAAGTCACACAAAACAATGACTAGCTCGTACGTAATATTTTGCAGATTCGGAGATCGTGGGCACATGCAACAAGTTTTGATACGGAATTTTTGAGTTACTCGGATACAATAAATGCAGTGTTTCCAGTTCAGACTGCCATAGGCAGTATGGATCATAATGCAGAGAGTAAAAATCGATTACAAACTTCTACGCAACTAGTGATATCATGGTTTTTGTCATGAAAGCATAGGCGTTAATGACAAAGAATAGATTACTGAGCAAATTATTATACTTATGAGTAACTAGACCAATAGCTTAACAATAGCGGTGAACAATATTTGCGCAAAATGAAAAGTAAACCACCATCTGTTATAATTGGTTTACTTGCCAAGCACTTGTATATAGATTGAGTTGGTATATAAATGATGCAGAGTTGACGAGAAAAGTTGTGTGTAATTATGTAACGGTTACAAGCCCTCTTGAATTAAATTTTAATTTTACTGCAGTATTGTCGGAACTAATAAAGCAAAGTGCCGAGTAAATTTTATAACGTGATAAGGTTACTATGGACTAACGTTGTTACAAATACATGTCGTCTCTGTCACCCTGACAATAAGGCGAACAATAGGTCGTTTCTCATGAACTTTATTATCCGCAACAAATTCCCCTGTCATTTGTACACATGAACCAGCGTTAGGTGAATGCAACGTGTGTCACAAAAATGGTGACTACAGAAATTCACACGGGCCTGGGAAAAAAGTATAAGTGGATGGACTGCGGTTATTTGTAAACTCTATTTTCGGAATGTTCAATGCCCATTATAGAAATACACATTTGGTACCGTGAATATATAAACACCACAGACCGCAAAATGAAGCGATACAGTATATAATAAATAAAAATTTATTAACGACAACATGTCAAATCCAAAGACATTAGTCGTATTCGATTTTGACTGGTCACTTGTTGACGAGGACAGGTAAGAATAATTGAATATGCATTGGATCGTATTTATTAAGCTTTCTCACCTTCTTCATCATACGTCGTGTATTTGGTAGTGATTGCATAGTCTTAGAAAAGTTGTCAAAGCCGCTTCGAATGAAAATGGATAAGCTGCAACATTCTATGGAATGGATCGACATGATGGTAGGAAACAGAATAGTGCTTTTGTTTCGTGTATTCAATTCTGCAGCCCAGCCACAAAGAATTACATCATCGTTTTAAACGTTAGGCTGTGCTTTTGAAAGAACTTCATTCAGCTGGTATAACACGGTCACAAATCGAATCAGCCTTATCTTCAGTTCCGATGCATCCGTCGATGGTATCGTGCCTCCATATGGCTAAACGCCACAATGCTGATGTAATAATTGTGAGTGACGCAAACACTATCTGGATAGATCACATCCTCACTCATTATGGGGTTCACCATCTTATTGACAAGATAATCACAAACCATGCGGAATGGGATGCCGGGAATTGTATAGCCATCGACAGTAATACACATTCACAACAAAATTGCAACACGATTCATAGGATTACTGGAGAAAAAATGTGCAATAGAAATCTATGCAAAGGCCACGAATTGAGGCAATTGTTAAATTTAAGAGAATATGATAACGTTGTGTACGTTGGGGATGGCGTAAATGATTATTGTCCGTCACTGCAATTAAGAGATACGGATGTCGTATGTGTGAGAAAAGGCAGAACCCTGGAGAAATTGATCATAGACAACTACAGCAGCGTTCGAGCTGAAATAAAATTCTGGAATGATGCGGACGATGTGTTGGAGATATTCGACAACGTTTTTACAAAAACTAGACTCAAATCTGAAGAAAAAGAAAGAAATGCAAGTACAAGAGTGTGGTATTTGGCTAAAGAAATGGTAGTAGAAAAAATATTGTCTTTAAATAGAGCTGTAAAACCGTTAGAGCATTTGTGATTGTTGTTATTTCTTTAATTTTATTTTTAACGTTCAAAATAGTTATCCCTACATCACTATAATTCTTGTATTGTGCCGATTCATAATGCATCCCACATAATTGTCATACAAAACATCAAACTACATACATACATGAAAATAGAGTTAAGGAATGCAGCAAGATAGACCTTCATTGACGAGATTGTTGAAATAAACTTTGAGACTTATAACACGAATGGCTCACTGAATTGGTGTTTCCGTCTGGTAATATTATTAATTGCTAATAGGATTATCAATTATCTTATTAGATTGTAATCTGCTTCTCTAATATGTAATTGTTGTATCTCAGTTTGGAACCTTCTCAGTTCTGACTGGATTCTGGACTGAGATGACTGAGATGACTGAGTTCTAGACTGAGATGGTCCCGAACTGAATATAATTAGCAATATTATCAATTTTGTATTAGTCTGTCAAGCGTTTATAGGTAGATTTCACTCTGTGCTAACCTCGAAACCCTATAATAAGTAACTTTCATAATCGATCATTCCAGCTGAATTATATATATCTATTATTAGAGTTACTGTATGTAATAATTAACTGTGAGAGCTGATGCTGAAATCCAGCTGAAGCTGAAACTAACCAATGGGATTAGAGAATAAAATTTGATCAACCAATGAAAGGTCATGGTTTCAGCTTCAGCCGGATTTCAGCATCAGCTGTGACAACTATTATCGATAATAAGATTAAGATCTAGTAATTAGATTTATCTATGTAATGAGTATTACTAGTACTAGTTGGTTTGTAGTATGAACCAGTGTCAACACTTCCTCTCCCATCACTATCACTTTGTATTTGCAACAGAGCAGTCCTGAATCAACTGCTCCATACTGATGTGCAGTGTTTGAGGGTCTCATTGGTTTAGAGGACATGCCTTTGCCTTTTTAGGGTGTTCATGGAATATCTTGAGGGTTTTGTTTCTCGTGATAAAATTGCTGCTGCAATACAACAGGCAGTTTTGATGGCAAATACTCTTCACAAAAATGGCTTGGTTTATGGGGACCTTTGCACGACAAATATTCTCTGGAGAAGTGGAGAAGTAAGATTTGTTGATTTCAACTGGGCTGGTGAGGATGGAGAAGCAAAGTACTGTCGAGGCAAATGTCACGGGAGAGCGGAATGACACGTGACTCGTAAGGATTTAACTTTCTTCGAACGGAGCGTAGC